TGAATTCCCCGAGCGAGGATGTATGTTGCCATGGCACCAAAGGGATGATTGTATTCGAAACTACAGTGCGCCTGCGGACCATTAACCTAGTAGTAGAGTAGGTAACCTTTAACCTTTTTTGGGGTAGTGTAGTCCTTATATAATACCTATATACCCAAAAGGGTTAACCTTTAGTTCCCCAGGATACCCGACAAGTAGGTGAACGCTAAGCCTTAAATCCATGGTCATACCTCGAGCATCCCTGCTGATATCGAGCCGAGGCCGATACGCGAAGAGGCACGCCCATGCCGAAGGATATACTTGGAGGTTCATGGGTAGTTGTACGTGGAGTTATAAGTAGGTAACTATAATTGAATTATAACCCATATTAGGGACAGATAACTCTACTTATAACTTCCCATGAACCTCCAAAGAGGAGCGATGAAGGTCCCCTACCTGGAAAGCCCCTGGAAACCATTCATTTTCGGGCTGGAATGTTCTTGGCCTTGCAAGCCCTTTTCCTGTAAAGGTGATGGTTAAGAGAAATAGCCGCGTGTGGTGTCGATCCAGAGGCGATAGGTGCTGGGAATAGGGTCAGTGTCGACACCCGAGCCCGATAGACAGTGTTTGAATGAGTTCTGCTACTCTCCCCTCATCGCCCCCGTGTAGTTCTGCAATAGCCGCCCAGTTTCCATGTATCCATATAGTATGTACTTTGACCTTAATCTAAGAACCCCTGGAATAGTTTACGGCCTGTTCAAATATGCCATATGGCTACATGAATCGTTAGGGCAGACCACATTGTTATTAAGGCTTACCCGAGTTCAGCAGCACCCCAAACTCAACACCCATGGAGCACAAACCCTCTGCGCTTCAGTGTTTTGGGTTTTGGGGTTCAGGGTTTGTGGAGCTTCGCAAGGATGTAGGCCCTGCGAAACTCTAGATCTGAATCGTTTTCAAGCTTTGCACCTGTGATTCTTACCTTCGCAGCCCTAGATCTTAAACGCCAAAGCCTTCATCAACACAATTCAAGAAGCGCATCCAGGGATCGTCGTTGAAGTTCTGAGTTGAAGTTATCATAGTGCGGAAATCACCTGTTACTATGTATCCCTCTTTCAATAGCGTCAGGCGAAGCCGATGCCTGCCAACTGCCCTCGGCCTGGCCCGCAGCATGCACAGCGTCGGCAGCTTGATACGGCTGATGGACAAAATCCTGCATGACCTTGAGGACCCTAAACTATGGGAATTATGGTATATTCCTTATATTGGGTCATGCAGGATATTGTCCATCCACAGTAGGTCTAGGACAGCAGGATGCTCACAGCTTATCGGGTTTGTTTTATTTGCGTAATCAGGACACCTCTTCCGTGGTTGGATTTCAGGTGTTTGTTCATGCCTAACGGATGCCAGCCTCTTGGTGGCCCCAACATAAAGCCTGTCTCATACATACATACATAAATACATGCATAATACTCACATACAGGAGGAGGACGAACTGATGGACGGACAGACAGACAGGCAACAAAGGCAGGCAGGCAGGCAGGCAGGCAGCCAGGCAGACCGCTCACATGCATACATCCTTATTGCCTACACACATACCGACACTCTTTACCTGCATACATGAGAACATGCATGGATTCACAGGTGCATACATGTGGACACACAACACACGCACATGCATGCATACGTACATAAAAATGAGCGTACACACACATATTGCACACATGCATGCATGCATGCATACATACATACGTACATACACACATGCATGCATACCTTCTTGCACTCGTGCGTGCATACGTGCATACATACACATAATTACATGACTGTACATGGCCATGCATGCGCGTACACACCCCGCCATACATGTGCAGGCATATCCATCTCACCATCCATCTTTCCATACATACATGTACACATGCTTTGTGCATGCATCTGTATATCGACCCCATCATTACATCTGTCATCTCGTCCATGTCCAGCCAACCAGCCAGCCATCCATGAATCCACCCACCCTGAATAAACCACACATACATGCATACCTACCGACCTTCTTGCCTGCCTACACACATGCATTTGTACATATCTCTAGCAATACAGACAATATGCACGCACACATACAAACATGCACAGATACGTACATACATACACCCAGTACATACACTACATATACTTACACACATGCAGACACACATACCTAAAGGTACATATACATATAAAGCCCATACATCCTCGCACGACAGGATCCTCCCTCAGCAGTTTGAGCGTACTTGGAGGTTCACGGGTAGTTATAAGTGGGGTTATAAGTCCCCTAATATGGGTTATAATTGTAGTTATAAGTCCCCTAATATGGGTTATAATTGTAGTTATAAGTCCCCTAATATGGGTTATTATTGTAGTTATAAGTCCCCTAATATGAGTTATAATTCTAGTTATAAGTCCCCTAGTATGGGTTATAATTGTAGTTATAAGTCCCCTAGTATGGGTTATGATTGTAGTTAGCCTACTTATAACTCCATTTCTAACTACCCATGAACCTCCAAGTAGCCTTGCGAACACGCCTCTTCTCAGGTGTGGCAAAGCCATGCCTGGATGCGTCGGTGCCAACTTCTGCCCGCACTGCAACTTCGTTCTGACATAGGCCGGAGCAGGGCGCAGTGGGTTTAGGGTTGAGGGTTTAGGTTTTACAGCTTATGGGGAGCGGCGAGTGAGGGAGATCAGGAGTAAAGTAGGGCTCAGGAGTATATCCGTATGTGTTAGTCTACACGACTTGCCTGTATCGCTCGTCTAGCCCTAGCAACGTGCAGACGACAGCCAGATTAAGCCATTCGAGCCTTGGCTTGGTTTTTCATGCCAGGGCCTGTAGGGTGTGTCTATTCTAAGTGGCTAGCTAACCAAGTAGCTCTATCGTGAGACACACACAGAGCACATTGCTACGGTTGATGATATAAAAGCTGCATTGCATTAATGACGCTAGACTATGAGAACTATGGTATATCTTTTACTGTACTATCGGGGAAGGATTAATGACGCTAGACTATGAGAATTATGGTATATCCTTTACTGTACTATCGGGGAAGGATGTATATCATCAACCGTATGATGGTGCTTCCGCCGAGCCCAGGGGCTCCAAGGACCCATACTGTAGCAGTTGAGTGCCCAAAGACCGTGCCATACAAGGGTTTAGGGTTTAGGGTTTAAGGTTTAGGGTTTAGGGTTTAGGGTTTAGGGTTTAGGGCTTAGAACCCTTGAGCAACGGCAATGATGAACACCCAGACTCCCGGGAGGATCTAGAAAGTAGATACCCTAATTTGGGGCCCTATAATCCTAAGGGTACTGTATCGGAACCCCCCATTAAGGGATCTACTGTTGGGATCCTCCCGGGGGTCTGGGCAGTTACACACTTGCCTGCGGCCTCCCTCAGGTTCCGACATCGGCCGCTGTCGCCACGCTTTTCCGGAAACAAAAGTGCCTAGTAGTAGAGTATAGGTAACCTTGAACCTTTTTTTGGGTAGGGTTTAGGGTTTAGGCGTTTAGGGGTTTAGGGTTTAGGGTCTAGTAGTAGTAGAGTAGGTAACCTTTAACCTTTTTTGTGTAGTGTAGCCCCTATATAATCCCTATATATTAACCGTTAGTTCCCCATGATACCCGACAAGTAGGCTGTGTTTATCGACTGTGGCCCCACTCTAAGGTTACAATGTGAGGAGTACCCCCCCCCCCCCCCCTTCCCCAGTTGCCCATTACATGGGCGTCCTAGGTACTTCGCTGTTACAACTTGCAACAGAGCCCTATCCATATATACCCCACTCCAGCAACCTACTATTTAGGTATCTGAAGCCCTGGGTAGGGGAGTTGAGGTTTCTGGAAGTTGTCTTGTGGTGTTGACCCGGGTTTCTTTGGTTTGGTTGACTGGCCTTGCAGCCACAGGTTTGTTTAGGGCCTCTATGGTTTAGGGGTTTAGGGTTTCGGGTTTAGGCTAAGGGGTTTAGGGTTTAGGGGTTCTTTGTTTATGGTTTAGTGGTTTAGGGGTTCAGGGTTTGGGCTAAGGGGCTTAGGGTTTAGGGGTTTAGGGTTTAGGGTCTAGGGGTTCTTTGTTGAGGGTTTGATGGTTTAGGGGTTCAGGGTTTGGGCTAAGGGGGTTAGGGTTTAGTGTTCAGGGTTTCGAGCTTAGGGGATTAAGGCTTAGGCTAAGGAGTTTAAGGTTTAGGGGTTCTTTGTTTAGGGTATAGGGTTTATAGCTTAGGGTTTAGAGCTTCAGGGGTTTGGAGCTTTAGGGTTTAGAGTGTCTCTTCGCTCACAGCGTCTTATGATGGTTTAAGAAATAGGGTGGCAGGTGGGGTCTGCAATCTGACACCCTGAGCTCCAACTTCTCAATCTTTAACCCTAAGTCCTACGCCTGAGGACTGACACATTTTTTTGCGATGTGTTTGAAGGGTTTTAAGTTTACTTAAAGGTTTATAGTCTTTATAGTTCAGAGCTTTAGAACTTCCCGGTTTGGGGGGCAGCAAGCAGGATTTTTGGATTAGTGCCTGTAGGTCTTAGTAGTATGGGGGACCCTAAACCGTAAACCCTAAAAGCCCCTTTGTGCTGCACAAGAGCCCCTGAAAACCCCTGGGAATTCAGGTTCGGATGCCAGGCAGAACCCCACGGTGGGAAGGACAAGATCTTACCATTCGGGAAACATTGGATGTTGGAATCTGGGGAGAGCCTACTGATCAGGGGTTCGATTATGCTTGTGCGCTGAGGGATTTCACGAACCCCAAACCTGCTGCCCCTAAAAAGAACACCTAAACCCAAACTTCTGCATGTTTTCTTGTATGCCAGCCTTCCTGCAGCCTTCCTGGCTGCGAACCTCTCACCTGTGATGCTAGAACCACTGTTGTTGCATGAATGCAGTGCGCGAGCATACGTTCCACGGCGTTTCACGGAAAACGCTGTGACCATCATTCGGCGTTTCGTTGAGTAGGTGGGATTTTGTGTTCTTCTCTTGTTGCCTAAAGAGTCTTCCGACAGCCCCTACCATGGCACTGCGTGGCAAGAGCGTCGAGGAGAGGGGTTGCAGAAGCCGGGGTTTACTTGTTGGGGTTCCGATTAAGGCTCCAGCATGATTACCACATACACCCTGAGCCCTATAGACCATAAGCCCCTAAACCTTAAACCCTAGACCCCTAAACCTCTAAACCCCTAAGCCCCTAAACCCCTAAGCCCCTGAACCCCTAAACCCCTAACACCCGAAACCGATCCGAGGAGCATTCATAAAGCCACCAAGATCTCCCATGCTTCCGTGGACTCTGGGCCCTTCGAGCCTCAAACTCGCCTGAACTGTCGTACTGTAGGAGCCCAAAATGGTTCCTGAGGGTACCTTTCAAGGGGTCTATGAGGGCTACCACGGCTACCATAGGGGCTGGTACAAGGATATAATAAAGGGGCCGGACTACTTACCAATATTCGCCACTAACCCCTGGGCCCCCAACCCGCTAGCATCTTCTTTCCACATGTGGTAGGCACCGTCCGAGCTGGTCCAACGCACCCAGGAACTGCTGCACAGCATCGCACCCGACGGCACCTTGACCCTAATATAGTACCCTAAATAGTAGGATCCTTATTATAAGGACCCCCAAATAAGGTACCCCTAATTTTCGGAAACCCCCCCATGGAGTCCGTGGATTGGGCCAAAAGCTGGGAAGGCATCGCTTCCTCGAAGGGTGCTCCCGGGCAAAGATTTCAAAGACACCGCGAAGAGCTTCCTTCAGCAACGGTCATGGTGACTGCAGCGCAAACGGCGGACAAAAAAGAACAAGGAACTCTAAGGGGCTCGATTAGTTTTTGCTAAAGCGCCTATATCAGAGTTACCCCCCTTATTTGGGATGGGGCATAGATTGCAAAGGCTTTTCAGGCAAAATTGGGATGCTTCTTTCGAGGAATTTGGAGCCCAAGGAACTGAAGTAGGGTTTTGGCTCCGCATTGCGAACTTGCACAAGGAAATCATGCTTGCCGAGGTTGGGATTTAGGCAGAAATCCCATAGCTGGCTTACCTTCAGGCTCCGGGACCCTTGTAGTGAGATCCCGGACCCTAGCCCCCAAAGCCGAAACCCTCCTCCAGAAAGCCCAAGACACTCTTAGGAGCCTTAAGATAAACCCCGAAACCCCTAAACCCTAAACTACAAAACTCCTAAACCCTAAACCCAAGACCCCTAAACCCCTAAACCCTAAACCCCTAATTCCCTAAACCCTTTAAAAGCCGTACGGGAAGGGCTCCAAAATGGCCCCATGAACTTCGGTCCGAAACCAAACTGAAACTCTTAAGACTAGCCCTGAGTTTGGTTAGGGCTTAGGGTTTAGGAACAGGAACAACTCTTAAGACTAGCCCCGAGTTTGTTTAGGGTTTAGGAACACTTCACCCAAAAGCCTTAAGCCCTAAACCCCTGAACCCCGAACACTATCATCAGGAGTTGCTGTCTATCCAGTCGGCCGCTCTGCGTCAGCTGCTGGCTGTAAACGAGGCGAACTTGCTATGGAGCACCCCCTCCTTCGGGTTTGCCTTTCAGGGTTCAGGGTTTAGGGGTTAGGGTTGAGAGTTTAGGGTGTTTAAGCTGCCATTGCTTTCTTGGTTTTGTAGGTTCTTATTGTAAACCCTACAATGCACAAAGGTGGGGCCTGCAAAAAAGGAGGTTTCCATTGTTCAAGGTAGGGAAAGGGGTCTCAAGGAGCACGGAACTTGGAAAGTAGGGTAGTGGCGTCTAGGATGCCCAGTAGTACCCTTATTCCCTTTTTGTTGGCTTAGGTTCCTTATTAAGTTATCCAATACCAAAAAGGGAGCCCTTTTATTCCTAGGTTACTGGGCATCCTAGCATTATATAGGAAATTGGAGAACCAGGACCCTCCTTGTACCCTCAAATAGGGGTTATGGTCCCTAAATTTATGTATTTAGGGGCTAACAGAGGGTAGCAGGAGGGTCTAGGAACTTTAAGTTGTTTGACTTTATACCGTCAGTTTTTTTGAAAGTTTGACCTTTGTTGAGTTGGGCCCTTTTATTGAAGAAAAGCGAAGAGGTCAGAGTCACAAGCTAGCTATCCCAAATACAGCGCGCTGATCGCCCCACCCCCCTACAGCGGGCTTGTTCGGCCCTGGGTTCACAACAGTCAGGCTAAGGACGTACGTTTCGGGGTACTTGGCTTTCAACCTACGAACGATCCTCCTCCTTCTCTTCCTCCTCCTACTGCTAGTGCTGTGCTAGTGCTAGTGCTAGCTGGTGCTACTGCTAGTGCTAGCGCTGTTTCTACTGCTAGTGCTACTGCTGCTGCTGCTGCTGCCACTACGATGACAGCATTAGTCCAAGTCCTAGTCCTATTGCTAGTCCTAGTCCTGCTCCTGAGTCCTGCGCCTACTGCTACTGCTACCTCCTGCTGCTACCTGCCGCTTACCACCACCACCACCACGACCACCTGTAAGTAAGAAATGGAAAGCCACCTTGACAGGCTCTCGCTGAGGCTCATGCTGGCAAGGCTGGCTTTTCGTTTTCAAAACAAGGGTCAGTGTTTCGCATAAAGCAGGCTTCGGGTTAGAGTTAGGGCTCTTGCTTGCTGCGCATGGCTTGAGGGTAGTCGCACGCAGCTTCGTTGGTGCTTATCAGTGTCTGAATGGTAGACTTTTGGGGTTGATCGTTCAGGGTTTGTGTAGGGTTTTGGGTTGCAGGTTTAGCGTGGGGGGTTCGTAATTCGTAGATCCTAGCTCCACATCCTAGCTCCCTGACCCCAGGTCCAGGCGACCTTACTCTCCGACGTCCCCGAATTTATAAAAGCCACAACCCCTCGACCTCGGCACCCCAAACCCGTACACAAGGTTATTATACAGCCCTTGTAAACCCGGAACTCAGCTGGGTTCTTATATGGATCAAGAGGCCGAAGCATATAGTCTACAGCTGCAAGGACCCACACGGTAGGCCTGAACACCCAATAGTAAAAGCCTATAAGCCCTTCCCTAAACCCCAACCCTAACAAGCACCTGTGGAGACAATCCTAAACCTCAAACAAACCCTAAACCCTAAGCTCCTAAACTCCCAAACCCTAGACCCCTAATCCCTAAACCCTATATTAACCCCGAATGACTCTAAACCCCGACACCCTAAGGGATGCCGTTGAAATGCAACTTAAACCCTAAACCCCCAACCCATGATTTGACCCTCAACCCTACTGTGAGGGACCCCCTTTGGAGGATGGGCAGAAGAAGAACTTGGCACCCGAGGAGGTCCCAGTTGTGAAGACATCTTCCACAGCCACCGAGGCGTTGAGGGTTTAAGGTCTACCTTAACCCTGAAGAACCTACCTTTTTAGGGTTCCCTATTATGATTTCCTTATATAAGTCCTTACAAACATAGGTTCTTCAGGGTTAAGGTCTAGGGTTTATGGTTTGGGGTTGAAAGTAAGGTTTAGGGATTGAGATTAGGCTCATGAGGTCTGGGGTTTAAAGTTTTAGCTTCTGGGTTTGGGTTTTCGGGTTCTGGGGTTTACTCTTCAGGGTTTAGGGTTTAGGGTTTGAGATGGGTCTGCGTTTCGGGTTTGGGAGAGATGGGCACAAAGGTCAGGCTGTAAGGGTAGAGGTTTATCTGGCTTCTAGTACGGAATGGAATGCAGGGTTTCGGGTTCAGGATCTGCCGTTTAGTTTGCATTGTTCTGGGTGCAAGCTAGGTAGTATTATGAGGGAGACCCCTTCAAGGGTACCCCTTCTGAACCTTACTTCTGGCTCTCTTAAAAGGGCCAAATTGACAGGGTCTATATCCCTAAGGGACTCCCTAATCCTACCTCCCACAAGCTAACATGTGATGACACTGAACATCCTAAACCCTACCTTAAGCCTGGACCCTTGTTATGAGATCCTGGACCCTAGCCCCCAAAGCCGAAACCCTCCCCCAGAAAGCCCAAGACCCGCTTAGGAGCCTTAGGGTAAACCTTAAACCCCGAACCCCCTCAGCCCTAAACCCCAAAACCCTTAAAACCCTAAACACCTAAACCCAGGAATCCCAAAATCCCTAAACCCCTCAATCCCTAAACCTTCAAACCCTCAACCCCTAAGCCCCAAAACCCCAAAACCCCAAACCCTAAAACCCTGAGCCCCTAAACACCTAAACTCTCAAACCCCTGAACCCTTAAACCCTCAACCCCAAACCCCTGCTCCAAGCAGGGCTGACGGCTGCTAGTCAGGTGGTCACACGCGAAGAATGGAGCGGCATGAAGGCCAGCATGCACGAGGCAGTAGCCATCCTCGTCCGGAGCGGCGGAGCGGTTGGAGTTCGTCGAGCGGAAGCGGCAAGCCGCGAGTGCACCTCAGTGCGAAGCCAACGTGCAGAAACAGCGGTGATCAACTTGGCTGAAAGACGGCTGCTGCAGTAAGGTGTCTCGCGACTCTAGGGGGGTCAGGTTGAGTCATGAGGTGCGGGCAATTTGGCTTATAGCGTCTACAAGGTATTTGGAGCCTTGGAAAAACGACTGATGTTTGACCGCTTGCTTCACGGAGGTTTAGGGGTTTATAGTGGGTTAGAGTGAAGATTAGGCTTGAGTCGGACTGCGATGCACCGCTTGTACGTGTAGAGGGCAGGGATGATCATTCTCGTCGCGGGACTCAGAGGGCTGAGGGCGCTAGGCAACTCTGTCTCGTTGAGATGGTCTTGTGGGACCTATATATTTCCATAATGGTAGTATATATGGACCTTCTGGGTAAAGGTTTATCTCGTAGATAAGGGATATTGGAAGATCTGGAAATCTGTACACCTTGCCCGGCAGTCTAGAGCCTGCAATGATCCATGTCCCCTCCCCCCAGCCACTCGTATATAATCTAGGGTGTGAAGACATAAGAAGAACATCCCCTTGCAGTCCCTACATTTTTGTTGTTGTTTTTTATAGGCCCCTAAGGTCTCCTTTACATTTCAAGGCCCAGCATTACCCGAGACCGGGAAGCTCCCTTCCGAAACCCAGCAAGCCAGAAAGCCCCCTGCCACCAGGAAGGCCGACGACTAAGCGTCAAGGAGCGAGAGCCTTTGTGGTTACAGTGACGGGTTTAGGGTCTTGGGGGTATGTGGGGTGGCAATTGAGGTTTGGGGTGAAGTGTTTTGGTGTTTAGGGTCTTTAGGGTGTTTAAGAGTCTGTGAATCCAGCATTTTGTAGTGTTTGGCATCGGGTTGGGGGTGGAGGGCTTCGGGTTGAGGGGAACCTCATCCTCGTGGGTGCTAACACAGAGTCCTTTAAAGAGCCCTTATAGTACCCTTGAAGATCCCTTCACAGGGCCCTGATTGTACCCTTATAGATCCCTTTAAAAAAGAGCCCTGATAGTACCCTTATAGATCCCCCTAAAGAACCCTTGGAGTAGCCTTATAGATCTCTTTAAAGGAACCCTTACAGTACCCTTATAGATCCTTTTACAGGAACCCTTATAGTACCGTTATAGATCCCTTTAAAGGAACCCTTATACTATACCCTATAGATTCCTTTTCAGATCCCTTATAGGTACCCTTGTAGGTCCCTGTAATGCAAGCCCACAGGAGCCCCTGATGAAGCGCTCGACCTCTCCAACGCCGGAGGGCTTCGGCCTTTTCTCCCAAGGCAACCTCGCTGGCTGCTTTTTAGGGTTCAGGGGTTTACCCAAAGCTCCTGGGTTTAGGGTTTAGGGGTTTATCGTTTAGGGTTCCTTTAGGGTGGTTTAGGGGTTTAGGGGTCTAGGGATTTAGGGATTCAGGGTTGACCCTAAGGCTCCGAAGAGGTTCTTGGGCTTCCTGGCAAAAGGGTTTCGGCTTTAGGGGCTAGGGTCCGGGATCTCACTACAAGGGTCCAGGAGCCTTAGCACAGGGTGTTTGATGTTTTTTGTGTTGTTGTTTGTTTGTGCTAAGGGGTTGGGGTTCCTGTTTAGGATTGTTTTTGTTAGGGCTTAGCGTTCCTTTTAGGATTTGTGTTTAAGGGGTTAGGGTCCATCACGTTTGTTAAGGGTTGAGGGTTCCTTTCAGGGTTCGGGTTTTGCAGTTCACGGTTCTTTTCTAGTGTCTAGGGTTTAGAATCGTGGGAATCCTCTTCATACTTTGAAAGTTTTGGTTCGGTTTAAGGTTTAGGATTTTTGGGTTCCTTGTTTGGGTTCTTTCTCGGATTCCTTTCAGGGTACTACAGAGGTTCTATAGACATTGTCGTGTTCCTTGCGGAGATTTTGGGCTCTTCTCGGGTTTAGGCATTCGGGACCAGTGTTCCGGTTTTCAAGAAGTTTCAAGTTGAGCATTTAGGCTGGCGGTCATGCTTCCCTCTGCTGTTCTAGATTTGTGCTTTTTCCGGTCAAACCAGCAACGCCGTCTCCGACACTGAGTCCGAATTTCCATTATGACCACCCGCACTACTAGAAAACTGAACCTGGGAGCTAGGTTGCAGAGCCAGCAAGCCAGACATTGCGAGACATCGTGCTCGGAGAAGCCCCAACCCGCAAGCCTGATATATATATATATATATATATATAGATTAATAATTACCTAAACTATTGGGGGGGGGTCCGCTTTACATCTATAGTATAACGGGGCCCCAAAGCCTATTCTAATTGTTAAGGGTCCTATGTTTGACCCCACACCCCGAGCCACAGACCCCTAGCCCCAACGAAACCCTGAAGCCTGAACTCAACGTGAAGGAGCCATGTTTCCAGACGCCGACAAGATGAAGGACAAGATCCGTTCAACGCTCTTCGCTCCGGAGTACGACCCGGAGGCTTCAGCCCTAAACCCTAAACCCCAAAACCCTAAACCCAAAACCCAAAACCCAAAACCCTAAACCTGTTCGCTGTTGCTTTCAAGGTGCAGGGTGAATTGGGGCGTAGACTCGTCTATACTGTGCTTCTTTACAGTTAGGAAGGCTTTCGTTTATTTGTCGCAAACTGCCATTACCCTAAGGGCCCAAGTACCTAATTATCATATACTGTCCAAAATCCTAGCATACATAACTACTATCCTAAAACCGAGTACCTAATTATAGGGTACTTTGGACCCTAAGGGTTACAGTCACAAGTAACCTTGCTAAGTTCTGCGGTTCTCAATGCTCATCTCAAGAACTAGAACGGCAGACTGGCAGTGCGCTCATCATCACTCTCCGAGTGCAGCTCCCAAAGGGTCCTAGGTACTGTTATGGGGGATACTTCCCCAAATCATAATCGTAATTACTACAGAAACCCTACATTCTACTATAAAGGTACTTTGGACCCTGTGGGACTTTCTTCAGGCTTCAAGATGATTCAAAGCAGACAGCCACTGAAGTGTGAGCGTCATGGTTCGTGAGGCCGAGCTCGATCCGATCACGTAGTTCTTGGTTATGTAAAGCTACCATAACAAGGCAGCATAATGCATTTATATTTTCTATAAACCCATAAACCCCAATGAAGGTAAGCTGCCTTGATTAAGTTCCATGGCAAGAAGCCGTGTATCCTGTCAGTCAGACCCCCAACCTGCTCCAGGCCGTGTACAAGACCACCGGCAGGCATTGGGCTATGGCCGGTTTAGGGTTTAGGTTTAGGGTCTGATGTAACATTTAGATTACTGGATTGCCAGGGAACGCGGATTGGCCTTGCTTAAACCTTAAACCCTAAATGGGGCGTAGGGATGCAGTATGTTATGTCGGGTGAGGGGTAGGTTGGAGGGTGTGAGAGCAGAGGGACAGCGGTTTTCTGTCACTGGGCTCTGAGACCTAGAGGGGCAATTCGGGTTTTGGGACAGCTGATCAAGGGCTTTGCAAGTCTGAAAACTTGCTGAAGCCTCTCTCAAGGCGCACCCTAATCCGGAAATCCGTAATCTGCAGACCTGTAGGTAGAGCAAGCTCTGGACCACTAGGATGCCCAGTAGTACCCTTATTCTCTTTTTGCAGTCCTAGGTTCCTTATAAAGTTACCCAATACCAAAAAGAGAGGCCTTTTTATTCTTAGGTTACTGGGTATCCTAGACCACATAAACATGTAAAACCCTAAAGTCTGCCGCCTTATCCCATGCAAAGAGCATGGTCTCCTAGACTTTGGAACATGAGACCCGAAGGCTCCATGTACCTACATACTGCTGATGATACAGATCCTGCATTACCTTAAGGACCCTAAACTATGGGAATTATGGCATATTCCTTATTATGGGTAATGCAGGATATATATCACCAACCGTAGTATATGCTTAGGCCGTTAAGTACGCGTGTAGGAACCACGTTAAGGCCGAAAAGCAAACATACTATATGGGCACACCTTAAGGACCGAACTAGCCTTAAAGGTAGGGACCCTATACCCTTTTTACGGTTCACGTCGTCCCTAAGGCCCTACACCCTAAACCGTTGGACTCTTGGGGAAACTTGCAGGTGCCAGGCCATAGCCCGTGACGCCACTTTCAAGTCCATCACGATGGTGGTGATTGTCTCCTAGCCGCCCTTGTGGGGTTTAGGAAGTTCAGGGTCTAGGGTTTAGGTGAGGTTGCGAATAACGGTTTAGAGCTTTGTGCTTCTTGGGTGTGGGGCATGGGGGGCTGTGATTGCAGGGTTTTGGAGCTAAGGTGCTTTAACGTTGGGGAGTTTAGCCGTGTGTGTGTGTGTGTGTGTGTGTGTTTTGGGTTTACGTTTTAGGGGAATCCTACAGTATCGAGCAGGAATGAAAACCTTGTTCTAAGTTGAAAGAGAGTTCGGGACCAATTCAGGCTAAATGTAGCAACTTAGTCAGTCGCATGCGGCGCCGTTGACCATCAATTGAGCTGCAATATGCTTGAATCTAAGGCCCTTTGCCAAGTATCGCCAGATCCCTTTTTACGTCGGCGGGCCTTGCAATAAACTCGGCCCAACATTGGCTTAAGGGTCGTTCTTGCTGGTTACTAAGATGAGGCATGCCTTTCATTGAGTTCCTCCCAGCGTTGCGGGGCTTCTGCCGTTGTGAGTGATAGTAATAGTAAGCTCGTTGTGGACAGCTTATGGCCGATCGTTCTGTATAGGCTTGAACCATTCTCAATAGTATTCCTGAGGACTCCTTGAACTACCCTAAGGGTCCATGTACCCAAATAGTATATACTTTGGCCTTAAAGAAATCCCTATATAGGTACTTTAGAGCCAAATTGTATACTATCTGGGCACATGGACCCTTAGGGTACTATTCCTAGGGCCTCCTGGGTTTCATGATATTAATTTCCAAAACCCTCTTCTCACCAGTTAGGCCCGCATTTAGTACGGTCTCGGGATTGCAAGCAATGCTTGGTCGGAGCCAACGGCAGGAGACCCCGCAGCCCTTGCGGGTGCTCTAGCGTTCTGAATACATGTATTCCCAGCAGGACACCAAAATAGGCTCTCACCAAACTCCTTGACAAGTCCTATGTGCTATCAGTATACCCGTTATAAGCCCTACCTCAAATGCTTGAACCCGAAAAGCCCTGTAAAGATACATCAATGTTTAGGCACCTCTACTACATTCGGCCTATCCTCGCATTTGGCAACCTCATGTAACGGCTCTCTGCACCCTTAAACCCCTAAATCCTGAATGGTTGAATCTAAGCCTCAAAGTAGACCCTTGTTGCTTGTTGCCCAGATTCTGAACGCTCTGTGGATTGGCATCGACACGGACCTGAGCCTTCACTTGCAAAGCGTGGATGCAAGGATCTGATGCAGCTAAAGCAAGTGATACAAAATTAAATATAACATCAACCTGTATTCAACCCCGACTGAAAGATTTCAGGAAGCTTGAACCCTAAGCCTTAAAAAAAGAAGCCTGAACCCTTAAGCCCAGAAACCTGAAATCCCAAAGCCTAGTCTCAAGCTCTAGTCCTTAGTGAAGGGGTAGTGAGACTTGGGCTCTACGCTTTGCACGTGACGAGGGAACCTTAAGGTCTATCCTCCAGATTCTCCGAAATCCCTCAGTTAAGGATCATGATTACATCCTTAAGTCATATGAGGGTCCTACCGGAATTAGCAGCAATTTCGGTGCTTCAGGGTTTTGGGGTTCAGGGTTTGGGGTTCAGGGTTTAGGATTAAGGGTTGGGGGTTCAGGATTTTTAGGATCAGTTCTTACACCCTGCACCCTGCGCACACACGGACGCCCTAACTAGACACCGTCACTGCTGAAACGAGGGCCTTGATCTCGGCGGATCACCCAAAGGGTCCTAAGTACCATATGGGAGTTTCCGAAAATTGGGGGTACCTTATTTTGGGCTCCTTATAATGAGAATCCTACTATTTAGGGTACTATATTAGGGTCCCCTATTTTCGGAAACTCCCATATGAATATGGGTGGTTGTCGAAAGATTTCTAGGGCCCCCTTTCTACTATCTAGGTACTAGGACCTTACCCAGGGCATAATCGTAGTTGTTCCTTCGTTAAGCCCTAAACCCTACATTCTACTATCTGCCTGTAGGCTCATACCCTACTCCTTTTTTAGGGTACCTCTTTTGTATATAACAGATCCTAAACCCCAAAACTAGGTGCCCCAAAAGGGGTAGGGTATGAGCCTCACCTTAACCTACCGAAACCTACTTTCTAATAGATTCTTACTATAAACCGTAATATGGAGTGTATAGGGACCCTACAAAAAGTAGGTTTTGGTAGGTTAAGGTAGGTAGGGATCCTACAAAAAGTAGGTTTTGGTAGGTTAAGGTAGGTAGGGATCCTACAAAAAGTAGGTTTTGGTAGGTTAAGGTAGGCAGGGATCCTACAAAAAATAGGTTTTGGTAGGTTAAGGTAGGTAGGTGCTTAGGACCTTTTGCATCAAGGAACACCGCCGAACTGGAGATCGAGTCACCCCCCTTCTTCCAGGCAGCACAGAACTTTAAGGGCTTAGGGTTTAGGGTCAGGGTTTAGGAGTTGTTGGTTGGGGTTTAGGGTGTAGGGCTTAGGCAATTCCGGCGAGGTAGAATCCGGTACGAATACGTGAGACTACCGCCATGACTCTTGCAAGCAGGCAAAAATGCACTAAACAACTGTAGCTCAGAACTCATCCATCATCGATCGCATGTGTAGGGCTTAGGGGTAAGGGCTTTGGGTTTAGGAGTTGGGGTTTGGGGGTAGGAGTTTAGGGCTTGCGGCTTAGGGCTTAGGGAGCTTTCAGGTCTTCCAGATGTCGATTGTTTAGTTGATTGTCAAGGTTTCTACACTCTCATTGTATGAACTAGTGGTTTGCGTTTGGTTGGCTGGTCGGATGCGATCTAACGAACGCAAGTCTCGTCTATCACGTTTTCTGGAAGTCTTCAGTTGGGGACTGCTGCATGTGTTTGGTGAGCCCTAGACCCTGACAATCAGGATCCTACTATTTCGGGTTCTATGTTAGGGTCCCCTATTTTCGGAAGCTCCAATTTCTTCTGGTGAGCCTTAAACCCTAAGAAGCCTTGGCTTGTGGCGCCTAGATTGATGCGCAGTGCGGGTCTTCGCCTTTGCTGCCGCAGGGTTTAGAGGATGACTGGCTTCTTGTTACAGGAGTTTAACTTAAGCTACCATAACAAGGAAGCCGTGTTATGCACTATAGATCGCTATTGCAGTAACTTAAACCCTAAACCCTATATACCCTGAAAGGAACCCTTGCACAAAAAAAGGACTGCAAACACTCACTGTAAGCTGTGGGGGTCAGGATTATAGGGTTTACATAATTTACCGTTTAGGATTGGAGTTTAGGGTTAGGGCCGACCAAACCCACAACGAACACTGAAGCTGCCCTAAACCCTAAAGCCAAACCCTAAACCCTAAACCCCTAAACCCTAAACCCTGTGAACTTTGGAACTGTGAATACTTCTATCTCGCATCCGTAAAACGGTGCACATCCCAAAACACGACACAGGTTGTGGACAACATGTTCTGCTTCTTCTTCACATTCGAGATTACAGTTCGCCACCTCGTCTGAGTTTCAGCTTCCGATGATGTTTGGCATTAATTTTTTAGAGTCTCAGAGTTCCGGGGCTCTTGCAAACTACTTTTGCTGATATAAGTTTTGCATTACCTTAATGACCCTAGACTACGGGAAGTATGCTATGTTCCTGATTGTGGGTAATGCAGGACCAATGCCGGATTTATATCATCAGCCGTATGTGTAGCTGTTTGGATGTTCCTGGTGTTCGTAGATGGTGCTTGTAGTTTCAGGTTCTCTCATTTTCGGCCACTGCGGTCTTTGGATACTGCTTACTATCCGTAGGGTGGTCGCCGCAAGCGCAAGAAGCGAACGATGCCAGAGATGGATGAGAAGGAGACAATCCCGGAACCGCCCGCCTGGCGCCTCCTACCTGGTCCTTTCTTCCGTTGTCCCGATTGCAAGTGCACTTCGGCTAGATCGGAGACGTTCTGGAGCAAGTGGCAGGAGAGTATCGTGGCATATGCCCAGACGCATCAGACGCCGTATTCCAATCGTCAAGGCGCCGACACTAAGTGAAAGTTCTGGGCCAGCAGCGGACTGGGATATATAAAGATCCAGGCTGTGGCTGCCACCTTCTTCGCCCCTAAACCCTGAGCCCTAATTGAGCCCTAAACCCTGAATCTCTAAATTGAAAGACAGAACCCTAAAGCAGACCCTGAACCTTTAAATTGAAAGATATATCCCTGAACCTGCATGACAAAAATAATTCCCGGGGTCTCAGAGGGATTGCGTGCAACGGAACTCAGGCCTTCGAGTTTCATTACATTGGGTCCCATATGGGAGTTTCCGAAAATAGGGGTACCTTATTCGGGGGTCCTTATAATAGGGATCCTTCTATTTAGGGTGGTATATTCGGGTCCCCTATTTCCGGAAACTCCCATACAAGTGGAGTTATTTCGGGGATCGTATCATACTGTAGTTCAAGGTAATAAGGAACCTCAAAAAGGTAGGTATTTCAGGGTCAAGGTATTCCTTAATACAGGATTTTGGAAGATCTGGGATCTTGTACAATCCCCCCCGAACCTACAGCGAATTTTGTTGCGGTGGACAGGATGTACGGCAACATGATGTGTCGCCTTTGCCTCTCACACAGATTAAAGCCGCTTGCAGCTAACCTGCAGGCCCCAGAATAGCTGCAACCCTAAACCCTATAAACCCTAAACCCTGAACCCTAAACCCTAAACCGGCAACCCTTCAACTCGGAAGCTTTCAAGCCTCTACAACTCGGACATGCAGACACTCCGCGCGAGGGATTCGGAACCTTTATCGCGGAGGGTTCTCGTTCGATAAGGGAGCCCGGCTGTCCTCAAAATACAGCCAGCTACCTGTCGAGTGTGGGTTTCCAGTTTAGGGTGTAGGGTGCGATCCAAACCCTGAAACCTAAATTCTACCCTAAACCCCAACCCCTAAACCCTAATTCCAAAACCCTAAACCCCTAAACCCTAAACCCTGAATCCAAAGCCCTAAACCCCTAAACCCCTAAACCCTAAACCCTGAATCCAAAGCCCTAAACCCCTAAACCCCTAAACCCTAACTCCAAAACCCTAAACTCCAAAACCCTAAACTCCTAACCCGCCTGGTTTCAAGAGATGATGCGCCCTGTGATCTCAAGCTCGAAGCCTCGAGTCCCATCTTGGCCCCGGCCGGGAATACTTCAACCTTAAATGGATTCTGAAACTTGAACCAGGACCCAGAGTAGGCCCTTATTCCCTTTTTTAGGGTTCAGGTTCCCTTTTAAGTCCCTTTAAACCAAAAAGGGCATCCTTTTTATGCCTGGGTTACTCTTGGGTCTAGTGAACCCTAATTAAGGTCCATGTACTCAAAGTGTATGTTAAATGCAGTTGGCCAAAGCATCTACTATTCGAGCACATGGACCCCAGGGAAACAGCAAAGGGTTTGGCTTTGAGTCTTAGGGTGCTGAAATCGTAACTCTTACCCTTAGGCTCTAAGGACTCGCGTTTTAAGGCTTTTGGGCCCAACGACCATACTACATACGGCTTTTTGGTTTTTTTGCACCTTGGGGTTACGGTTTGATGCAGCTGAAGGCTGCAAGCTGCAAACTCCGGCAAAAAGCCGAGGCTACTTCGCGTTCCAAAACAGGTCGGACGCCTTCAAGGACCTATTCCCATCTGAATTCAATGCAGACCAAATTTGTTACAACAAGCCTTTCGGGGGTGTATGCTACAAAAGATGTAATACGGAACCCAAAGGGCAAAGACCACAGTGCTTCCTACTGTAGCCACCAGCCTGATAGAACAGCATGCGCACGACCACTACGCCGAATATGCTTTCAACGGCAACTAAACTGTGTTCACCAGCTTGCGATTGTGATTGTGTATGTGTGCATACACCTCTCTCTCTCTCTCTCTCTACATGTATATTGTAGATACACACATATAGACTATGCATGTGTGTAGGTGTACCGCTGCGAAAAATCGCTTGTCATGTGGCTTGTGTATGTAGAAGATGTAGATGTATGTGTATATATTATGCTCTAAATTTTAGACCCCTCAACCGTAAACCCTTAACCCTTAAACCCCCAAACCCCTAAACTGTAAACCCCTAAACCTCTAGACCTCCAAACCCTCAAACCCTCCACCCCTAATCCCCTAAACCCCTAGACCCTTAATTCTTAGAGCCCTAACCCCGAAAACCCTTCGGAGGTTCAGCGGTTGAACCCCTGGGGAGGACTTCCCAAGGGCTCTAAGGACTCATCTATTAAGGTTTTTGGGCCCAAAGACCATACTTCGTAGAACCCTAAATCCCTAAACCTAAACCCGAAGCCCCTAAACCACGAACCCCCGAAGCCCTAAACCCCTACTTGGAGGGTCGGGGGACTTAGTAAGTAGGTAGTAAGTAGACTTATATATAAGTACCCTAAAAGGGACCCTATTTGGGGTTATGGTACTTATAACTCCGTAAAATAACCAGTTGCTAAGTCCCCCGCCCTCCAAGTAAACCCCTAAACCGTGGCTTTTGGGCTACGCTGATCCTTTTGGGGAGGACTTTAGCTTCTGCTTCGACTTGTCTCTGGTCGCGACCATGGTTTGGGAGGCAGGACAGTTTAGGGTCTTAGGGTTTACCTGTAGCCGGCTTGGCCGACAATTTCGCAATAGGGGCGAAAAGCTATCGAATATACGGGTCACTTGTTGTAAATACGGACCTTCTCTGAATATCTCAGATTTCCATAATCCAGCATATTTCTGGGTTTGCAAGAGTTTATGATCAATCAGCAACATGTTGAGGAAATGGCCAAGCTTAGGGCTCAAGTTCGGCTGCCATCATCTTCTTTGTGCAGTTCATAGGAGTGCATGTAGGCTTAGATTGTGATGGTACGTATCATGTCTGTAATTTCAGACTACTCTAGCACTATAAGACCGTGGTTCGATGCCATTGACCCAGCAAACCCGTGGAAGAACCTGGTAAAACCAACTTACAACCTCCTCGAATGCTGTCCTGAGCGGCTGGCTCCATCTTTTGCTGCGCTGCAGCGGCGATCGGGCACTTCAAGGTGCCAAGCCCCCATACGAACACAGCGAATGAGTGAATGTCGGGCTTCTAGGTTAAGTTGAGATTGAGAGAGTGGGGGATTATGAGAGCCAGTGAGCTTATAAGGCTACATTGATGTATACCCACGCATACATTCACACACAGCTGAAATCAGACAGCCTTATGCTGCGATTTTCTGCAGCTCCAGGTGTGTTGCACACAGAGCCCGAAGCAACACATGCTCATGTACCTTTCGAGAGCTAACACGGCGTGAAACTCGTGAAGGTTTTCCCACGTAGTCCTCCTGTTGTTGGACCGATTCTGATAATGGGTTGCGCACCCATTCGCTTTTTTGGGAATCGGAGTGAAGACGAAGAGCCACATGGCTCAGCATATGCAACTTTGGTACAAGTTGAAACCGATTGAGTGACCGGGCCGCTGACAGGAATGCACATCGTTGGTAGCTCAACAGAAACACCTGCAGGAGCTCCGCGACTTTCACAGCTCGGGTGGCAGGGATCCAGTATCCCTCACCATACAATGCAGCAAAGAAAACATTGATGCATTTCGTAGCTCCCACCTGCGATACGATTTAAGTTGTATTCGGAAGAATAAAGAAACCTAAAAAAACTAACCTGTTAATTGAATTAAACTAGTAATTGTCAGTGACTCCGATAAAACCACTAGAACGAGATCACAGCTGGTTCACTGTTCGAAACAGCACAGTGTACACTGCCCTTGCGAGTGAGGCGCAATTTTGAGAAAGATTTCATCCTCCGTTTGGCCCACGACATAGTCCTCCAAAAGCTTCGCCAAAAACATCATCATATTGGTGGAGACTGCTCCCTTGGCCCAATGGCCAACTGGAAATGATTTCTCTGAATCGAAACTGAAAGTATCGCGATTGATCTCCTGGATGTACGGTGTCAACTTCTCAGCCCTGCAGAACTGAAAGTACAAGCTTGTTAAGCGAGCAAACTTGGCGTCCCAGGACGGGTCATCAAAGAAATGAGTAATCAACAGAATCATGGCCGATCCCACGTAGTACTTTGCAACCCCATAATGAAATGCGTGCCAAACATCCACAGTGAAAAAGCACTCCTGTGCCCCACGAACTGTGGGGATGCCAGTGAGAATCTCAGGCTCAGACTCCCAAGGAACCTCACGATAAAGTGTGTTGCGCCATGATGCCCCATCGCGGAAGTCCTCCCATGGATGGCGGCTTGCATTGTTCGGTCCTTCCACACCCGCCTGGCACAGGTGGCAGATTCCAATGCAGTTCTTCTTGCTGCTCGGTGCCTTTGGGCATCGAGCGTAGTTGCGCTCCAGCCCACCCAAACGAACCAGGGCTGGCAGGTCCCCCTTTGTTGCGATATGACAACACCATATCTTCAAGGATCCATCCGAAGACGTAATTCCTTCCGAACATAGCATCTGCATGTCCTGGGCGAAAAGTCTGACAATTTTCTGCATGGAGCCAGGGTTGTTGTTCTGCATATACCTTGTCATCACAGACACCAAAAACTGTGTCCCCCAAGTGTTGCCCGAAAAGTTGAGGCACATGCCATCCTTGTCGATCTTTTGGGGCGGGCTCGGCACATTTCTTTTGCTCTTGGATGTGCCTGTGCCTAATGCACCATGGCATGACAAGATCCAAATCGGTCTTTTCTTCAGCGTTCTGCCTTCATCAGTATGACTGTAGATTGGCAGGCAAAATCGCAAGTCGATTTTGCCGGCCCTTTCCAAGGCCCAAAGTTCATAATCGGGCTCGACTAGTTTGTATCTGCGCCAGAATTCAGAAAGCAGCACATTCATATGCTGAATATCATTCGTCCCACACAGCTGACCAAGCTGCCCCCGCTCCACGAGATACCGAACCCAGTCAGAAAACTTCAAGTATGGAAATGCCTGAAGTGGGCCCGGCCCAATGCCAGTCCTTCTCAAAGGCAAATCTGCAGCTAGGCCATACTTCCTGAAAACACGATGCACTCCTGCTTCGGAATCCTTCAAAGACAAAGAAGCGAACTCTCGGAGGGCAGGGGGATGCTCCCGCTCTGGATCCTCTGCCACAGCAGCCACCGCAATCTCCACGACGTGCTTGCTTGCGGCCTCGGCGGAATTTGGAAGAAACTTGAAAAAACATGTTTTCGTCTCTTGTGTTGCAAGACATGCTCGCACATAGCAGAGAGCACAGACATAAGTAGAGAGAGAGAGAGAGACAGAGAGAACGAGAGAGAGAGAGAGAGACAGTCGCACAAAGTGCAAGAGACACGTGTATTTATCATCCGTGCAATCGCAGCAGCTTCTCCTAATTCGGTTCCAGGCACTTAATTAGCCCACCCGACGTGCTTGATCAGCCCGGCCACCTGTAATGTACACGAAGTAAGGTGGACCTTCCCGATCCTTTCGGTTTAAGGCCCCTTCACCACCACTGTTTGCTGAATTACGACAGCCTGTACAGGTCTGAAACTCAGAGATCAAAGCAGCCTCCAGCATGTGTATCAAGCCGACTTCGTCCCCAGCATGTAGGATCCACATGGCTGTGAAGCCTTTCTTTACATAGTCAGCATACCGGCGTGCGACATTGGCAGTCACACCGATCTTGAATACACACAGCTGCACACCCATGTGCTCACGGAAGGCCGAAGCATGGTTCTTGCATCGCAGGAGGATCTTGCCACACGTAGGCGGTGGCATCTTCATTGATGGGGACATGTTCTTTATCCCAAAACACTTCAGGGCTTCCCATTCACTAGGTAGGCAAGCAAAGCCGTCTGCAAGATCAAGAAGCTTCTGTGATATAGATCGGACCACATCCTGGTATCAGGGTGCTGCCTTTCGGACTGCATGTTCTATCCGAACACACCATCAAACCTATCATGAATAGTGAACATGCATACAAGCAGTGATCACACTGGCCTTCTCCAGCTCGGGAGGCTTGGTGGACTGGATGGTACTGCAAGCTGGAAGAGGCTCCACAATGGATCCTGTTTCTCCCTGAACTTTGGACTGCAGGCCCAGGGTCTTCAGTGATTCAGGAACAAGAGCAATTGTCCTTGCGGGCAACTGTAGGGGCATCTATGTGGCTATATATGTACAACCTACGTACCTACACCACCAAGTATGATTTAGGTTAGTTGAGGGTATATAGAAGGATGTATATTAGGCTACCTAGGGAGAGTCAGGGCACCTTGGAAGTTTTCGAGGAGACTCGCGCATAGATGGGACTGCACATCGCTTTCTTCCCGTGAAAGGGCAGTCATAAGTCAGCAGATCCAGCAAGTCATCCATTGCCACAGACCATTCAGCTGATAATGGTATCGCTTATGCAGGCCGGGACCCATAGAAGCAATGGTGTTCATGTTGTCTACATGATCAGAAACATAGGTAGTGTAAGCCTCTATATGAATGCTTGTGAATACATGACCTTACATATCCTATGCCTGCATACAGCTTTCATTGCTGGGACATTTATCACTACACCACCCTGTATTGGTTTCTCGTTGAATCAATGCGGATCGAAGCATAAGCAGCGGTCCCATCAAAGAGGCACATCCAGTAAGACAACACTCTTCACAAAAGCTCCAGCAACCAGCATTTGACTGCTGTGCAAACATATATAAGGACCCTGCTCCATGGGCCACGTGCTGCGCCAGCTTCTTCATCAGCGGCCCAGGCTGCATATCTGGCATGTGTATGCACAATATTTTATGGGGAACAGGTGGCTGCTTGTTCGGTGCCGGTCCGGCATACATGGCAGATGCATGCAAGCACTGGTTTTTGTGCTCGCGCCACAATCACAGTTTTAGGGTGATCCTGTGGTCAAGCTTCGACTTGCCCACATTAAGCAGTGACACGGTTGCACGGAACAGAAAAGGCACGCACTAGAGTCGCGTGTTCGCGGCGATGGCATGCAATGCATGTCATCCCGACCCATAGGCCCCTAAACCCCGGAATTATTTAAATTTGGACTAAACAGATCCCGAAACACTGTATCATAACAGAACAGTACCCTAAACCCTAAATTTCGATAGGAGAAACGTACACACACACACGGCAACTGTCTTCAAGTTGCAAGGTGCGGTCGCCCAAAAGTCCATGGGCGAGGCTCGGATCAGCTCCAGCACCATAGTGGTACTCAGCTGCCAGCCTTGAGCTTCTTCAGCAGGTTCCTGTTGGAGAAGATGTATAGGGAAACACAAACCACTTCACATATGTATTTTCGTACATTTATAAGGGTGTATATGGGTGCAAGTATATGTGTGTTAGAACAGCAGAGTCAAATAGTCTTTAAAAAGCGGACATAGCACAACGGAACAGAAGCAGCTACAGAATCGATTGTTCTGGTTGACAGTGGGTCTGAGAAGCCGTGAAGAGCCACCCATATGACGCCATCATGTAACACATGTGTCTATAAGTGCTAGCGAGCTTCTTCGCCGTTGTCTCGACAGTGCCCACACGGCTGCACCTGAGTGGCAAAGTAGCAGCAGTGTTGAATTGCAGCAGGTGGAGACGTGGGCGCCTGGCAAGCTGTGCTGACAAGGCTCGCAACTGTGGTTGACTGC